ACTAGCGGTGCACCAGCTTAAAATGCTGTGCTTATCAGAGGCACGAGGCTACTACATGCATTAGATGAACTGTGACCGAGGGACCAAACAGCGAAGCTTTACTTCCAGCAGAGAAATGCCTGTCGATAGTGTGGGACCATTTTGGGTACGCCAAGAATGACCAGGGTGTCGTTTAAATATTGCTGTAAAAAACTGCTGCTAAAGAGCGAATACATAAGGGTTAATGCACGGCTTGCTGTACATTTAACGATTTTAATGCACGACGTGAAGATAAGAACCACCTGACGCGAAGCTACAGGAAGCTACAGCTCGTTAGCTCAGCATTCTGCCCGCTTCAGATCAGAAAGAGATGAAATAGTGCGGTAAGATCACATTTATTTGAATTAATTATAACATTTAGCTACTTGAATTAATTATTCGAGAGAGAGAGAGAGAGAGAGGTGACAATTGCCTGTGTGGATTAGCCTATAGCGTCTGTGATCTCTCCAGTAGGATATTGATTACAATATTTCAGTTTATTTCCATCATTAGTAACAGTTTCCACTGTGGGACAAATAAAGTTAATATCAGTCGTATATTAATAATAGGCTACTTCATTAACTTCAAAAACCAACAATATATATTTTTCACCATGTTTCCAAATCCTCTGCCCCAGGTCCAAAAGAAATGTAAACGTTAAATACTTTTGCGATCTATTTCCATTTGTTATTTTCAAAAGAGAAATACTGTATGTAAACGTTAAATACTTTTGCGATCTATTTCCATTAGTTATTTTCAAAAGAGAAATACTGTCGAGGATGTTTACAGAGCAGAGGTCACCTTTTTTAATTCCAATGGGAGAGATGGACTTCTGTTTGTCTTTTGTTTATTATTTTGTGCTGTATTGCTGGTTACCGTGTTATTTCTGTTTCAAAAGCCAGCAATAAATAACACTTTAATATCTAAAGAGTGATTTTATACATTAGTAATGTTGGGAAATTAATAAATGCGTAATAATCGTAAAACCGTGATTGTTCCTCAGACAATAATCGTACCAACAAAATCTATAATCGTTGCATCCCTATTGTCAGCTGGAAAGAAAAATCGTTTAAGATTAAGACGACAAATGTGTGTTTCTTTGCAATAATGATTTGAGCACAATATGATGATTTGAGTCCGGTTAGATGTCCAGATGACAGTATGTCCAAAAACATATACCGTGGTACTTTTTGTTAATGTTAAAATCAACAGGTGGATGTTTTTTAAGGATGTTTATTTTCGAAATGCTGTCAGGCAGTTCTTTAGAAAACACACAGTACTAGGGTATTACCATAATATGTGTTTTCTGTGCGGTGTTTGTTAACGGTTTAAAGAGACGTTCAGCTAATGTCTCCCACACACACACACACACACACACATTCTGGACTGTAGGTCATCTGTTAAAGTGTGCATCCTGTGTCACAATATCACCTTGTGTAACTATATACACACACACACACACACACACACACTTGCAGTCCCCAGAAGAGTGTGTGTGTGTGTGCTCTGAATAATGGCTTGTGTTCTGGAGTTGTTCCTCCTCCTCTGATATAATGTGAGTGAGTGTGTGTGTGTGTGTGTGTGTGTGTGTGTGTGTGTGTGTG